TTTTTAGTAGTGCTATCCGAATATTTATAGTTTGAATGTTTTCAATGCTTCTGCAGAATTGCACATATTCCTTTTGTCGACTTTGATTTCTTATGAAGTCTGTAATTCTAATGCAAAGTATCTTGTGTAAATAAGTATTCATAAATTGTTTCTGGTAGTGGTTTTTATCCTGAGTTTGGAACAAGGAGTTTCATTGTATATAGGGCTAGTAATCAAAAGAAAGACGTTCCTCCTCCGTCTTTGAAAGCTTACGTACTGGCCTGTCCTGAAATGTAATTTCTCCTGTCCCTGTACTCCCCATGAATGCTCGGCAACCAATAAGGCTTCTGAAGCACTTTATAATATACATTCCAGTATAGTGACATAGTTCATTGTGATGGCAATTCTTATAGTTCATGTATGGTGCGGTCACATGTGGACCAAGAAAATCTGAAGTTGTGAAAATTCTAGCTGAAAGTGCCAAACTGTGATAGTGAAGCCTACATGCTGTGCAAGTATTTTGGATGTCACTAGAATATCTTATGTAATGTGTGTAGATAAATCTTCCTTTTTAATACCTCCATAATCCTAAATGTCAGAGCAAGCTTTGCTCCAAGCTTAGGGGATTTATGCTTGATATTGTCTTCACTTGAACTGATAAAGTAGTCTGTGCCTCCTTAGCACTGAATTGTATAGCAGTTTATCTCCCACCTGTCTTTGTTTTATAATGGCAGGGTGGGGACTCTAATTCCTATGTACAGTAGGCTTGTAGGCCAGATCTGCAAAGGAACTTAAGTGCCTAACTGCCAACCCAGGTGCCTAAGTCTAAAATTTAAATCCTCAGAAGCCCTGCTGGTCATATTGAAGGTGCCTAAGTTTCCATCACTCAAGTTCCCAGGCACATTCTGGGATACCTGTAACCATCTAACCCTTGGCACTGTCAAGTAGTTGGGTACTTGGCCTGCACCTAAGCCCTACTTGGGATCCGTACATTAGGTAGTCTGCTCCCACAGCCTATAGCCAAGGCCTGATCCTATAGGTATTCTTGGAGCACAGCTACAATGAGACGCATGCAAACTGGACAGGGGTGCTGCTCTACTTGATCACAGTACGCTGGTAGTTACAGCAGGATCTGGGTGACACAGTTTTCCATCCTCTCCTCTCTGTGATATGATCCTGCATCTCCTTATTTCCCAGGTTAAAGATCAAATTCCACAGCTGTATGGTATTCTGAGGTGAGCATCTCTTAATCTTTCTGACTGAAGCTGCTTACTTGATAAAAATCATTCGCTAGTCTGAGAGTGGGAGCATAACTTGTCCCTAGTGATTAGGGGACTGAGCTGAAAGAGACCTACATTTCAGCTCTTGCTCCTACAGGTGGTTACTACAAAATACTTATATTTTTGGAGCAGGGGCTTACTACCAGTTCTACCTGGCAGTTGTGTGTTGTAAGCAGCATGCTGTAGTCATTCTTTTCTTCTCTAGCAGAAGATTTAATTATTAAAAGAACAAAGAACACCTTCAGTCAGAAAGGTGTACAGGAGCCAAGTTCTGGAAGTTAGATCATTTTCCTGAGGTAGTTCTCAAGTCCCTTTAGACGGAAGAAAGAATTGTTTTTGGAGCGCCTATCTCCTGAATGCTCTAATTCTTAGTTTAAGGTGGTGAGGGGGGAGGAGGAAGTGTCCCTTTTGTGTTTGGTTTGTAAAAGCTGATTTGGATACCATGGCCTGACTCCCCAGAGGTGCATGCTGACTGTTGCAGTGTCAGCAAGTTCCACCATCTTACTCAGCACCTACATCTAGGCCTTCTTACATTCAAGATTCATAGCAATGCATGCTCTCCCAAGGCTGGAATCTGTAAGGACTTGGATGCTCAAAGTGGCAGTTAGGTACCTCAGTTCAAAATAGAGCCTTAGCATCCCCCACTCAGTCACTGCCTAACTTGGGAGCTAGCTGAAAGCCCTTGCTGCCCAGGCTTATGACACAGAATTGCCTGAAGTTCTGTTTCTAGGCACAACTAGAAGCTCCTAAGCCTTGACTGTGCTGAGCAACACAGCAACCACTCATGCTTTATCCTTTGAGATTCATAGAGATGATCCTCTTTATTCTTGCACATAGAACTCAAAACTCTTTTCATAAGGTTACTGGTAAAAGGGACATCATCATTTGCCCTGTTATTTTTTAAGGAGTTTAAGCATGATGGCCTATATTCAATAAAGGACTTCACAGCTAATTTCTGGGTACTCAACCTCTGGAATAGAAGCCTGGCTCCTGCATTAAGTGTCTAGGTTTCCTTCATCTGGCATAAGGTGTGTGGGGGGGGGGGGGGGGG